CAAATTGATGTGGAAATGTAATATGTAGGTTTAAAATAATAGAACAGTTAGGGATCAATTTAAAAGAATTTAGGTCCCGATAATTTCACTGGCTAATCTCTAACAGATGTGTAGCCTGCTATGAGATTTCCAGTTACAATGGTGGATTGAAGGTATTGACTACACAACAACATGCTTAACATAGAACACAAAACTTCCTATTTTTATTAGACACTTGCTAGAAACAGACTTCCACTCTTTACATTTATATAAAGATTGTTTCATAAATTAAACCAGGACTTATATTTTATAACTATACTGGATATACATGGAGATCAGACACATATTTTGGTTTTACTTATTTTGTTTGTCAGCCTGGCTCAGTGGTGGCACTCTTGGCTCTGAGTCAGAAAGTTGTGGGTTTAAGCCACATGTCGGGACTTGGAATCTTATAGTCTGTGCGGACAATTAAAAAGTGCTATAACAAATTCTAGGATGATTATTATAATAAAGAACTAATTAGGAATGGATCTGAACCTATATCACAGAACTGTACTGACCTGCAGAATCTTACCGGATTGATCCAGGACCAAGCTTTTGTTTGCTAAATTGTGTTCCAGCCCTATCCCTTGAGGTTGTATAACAATCATCCAGATACTGTATTATGTTTGGAAGCCTACCAGAAATTATTGGCAGCTTGACAGTTTGGAGGCAGAACAAGGTGTGTCCAGTTTTTCTCTTGATGGCCACAAAACAAGATTAATTGAAACGCAGTGACTTTTTTAACTTCATAAGTATCTATAAAAAGCTAACCCTAATCAGATTCTACTACAATATTGTCTGAGTGATTATGTATTTTCAATCTAATTTTTTTGGACACTGTACAGATATCTTTTGTAGTGATGTAGGATGGTGTTTTTAAAAAACATATGAGAAACAAATTTTTAAAGCATGAAAGGTTGCAAAGGACAATAATAATAATAATCCTTGCATGTGGTTATAGCGACTTTTTACATCGGAAGGATGTCTCAAAGTGCTTCACAGGATTTACTATGAAATGGAGTGACTGTGTGTTTTGTAGGCAAATGCGGTAGCACAATTGCACACAGTGATGTCCCACAAACAGCTATGGAGTGAGTGACCAATTTTATTTGGAGGATTGTTGACAAGCGTATGATAACATTTGATACACTGTAAACTGCCGAGAACTCGTCACTCCAAGGGAAAAAATGGCAAGTTATCCGGAATGGCAAGTAAGCCACATGTATACATCTATACTAATAAAGACGAACTATCTGTCTGTCTGTCTGTCTGCCTGCCTGCCAAGAACACAATAACTGATTGACGTAGAGACACAATTTATACCTCATCGGAAAGGTCTTGCATTAGGGAGTGTCATGGATAGGAGTTTTTCGGGGATCTCCTATTGTTGATGAGCTACATTAAAAAATGCTTTAATTAAGCCCTCAAAAAGGTATGCATGGTACTCTGCAATAAAGTAGCGACAGAGGTCACACACCTTCTAGAAAGATACATCTTATACTATTAAAGACAAAATGTCTGGCTGTGTGTCAGGAGTCCTCCCAACCAGGAGTCTTCTCGACGATTCCTCCCAATAGGAGTCCTCCCACAGGAGTCTTCCCAAAAGGATATGTGTGCAAATATGTGAACAAGAAATGGTAACAAGTTCAATAGCACATTTTTTTAATCTTAAGGGATAAAGATGCCTAAGAAGCAAAGATCAAGCCTCTAAAGGACAAATAAAAATGTCAGACAAAAGAGAGAAGGCCAATTAAATTAAATTGGTTGCAAGTGTAGCTGCAATAGGTACAGCTAGTACATTAATAAATGTGACTGGGATATTGACAGCATGATGACTTAAGTGAAAAGTTAAGCCAGGATCAAGTTATTGGGTGTTTACTTTCACACCTTTCACATCAGGAGGACGTCTCAATGTGCTTCACAGGATATACTGTAAAGTGGAATGATTGTGTATTTTGTGATTGAATGTGGCAGCCAAATAGCACACAGCAATGTCCCACAAACAGCCCTGAAGTGAATGTCCAATTGTATTGGGGGGGTTGCTGACCAGGACACTGGAAGAAATTCCTTTCTCTTTATAAATGGTACCGTGGGATCTTTAACATCCATCTGAATAGACAGATGGGACTTTGGGATGAAGTCTCACGCTAAGGACAGCACCTCCAACAATGCAGCACACCCCAGTACTTCACTGAAATATCAGCAGGTTACAGAAGTTCGTTATGGGTTCTGAATATCAAGACCATGGAAATATTAACTGTGCAAAACAATTCGCTTAGTTTGAAACAATGTAAACTCTATGCCTGTATAGATAATCCAGAATTTGTTTTGTTACCATAGCATGTTACCAAAAAATATCAGACAGCTTCCATTCATGACACTAAATTCAGAACTCTGCAGCTCGTGTACTGTCCCGCACCAGGCTTTGGGAACACATCACTCCCACCCTCGCTCGCCTCCACTGGCTCCCCATCCCCCAGAGGATCGAATTCAAGATCCTCACCCTCACCTACAAGGCCATTCACGGCCTTGCTCCCTCCTACCTCTCCGACCTACTATCCCCCTACCTACCCGCCCGTACCCTCCGTTCCTCTGGCTCCGGTCTGCTCCACATCCCCCGCCCCAACCGCCCTACCATCGGTGGCCGGGCCTTCAGTCTCTCAGCCCCTAGGCTCTGGAACTCTATCCCCCAGTGCCTTCGCCGCCTCCTCCCTTTCCTCCTTCAAGGTCGGTCTCAAGACCTTTCTCTTTGACCGTGCCTTCAGCTCCCCTCTCGACTCTCTACCCACTCCTCGCTCCCTCCCTTCCCTCCCCTCACCCTGACCATTTCCCCCCCCCCCCAATGCTCGGGTCCTGACCCAACTGTACAGCGCCTTGGGACGTCCTCCCGACGTGAAAGGCGCTCAATAAATGGAATCTTGTTGTTGTAAATGAGTCAGGTAGAGTTGAAAGGACAAGGTTCTGCAACACGATGGGAAAGAAATGGGCTTGATGGGCCAAAAAAGACTTCTACTTCCTTATTTATGTGTATTTTTGCACCATTGCCATGGAAGTTTCAGTTCTCTTCCTTTTGATGTTAAACTGCTTTGTTTGGAATGGCAGTTGCTAATTCTGCATTTGGGCTCTCAGCAAGAAGTAATTATTTTGTTTATCACATACATTTTCTGGTTAAAAAAAAGGTTAAACAAATTGCTAACTGTCCTAAGAGGAGCAGTTTGTGCAGTAGGAAACCACGCTTTTCACTCAACTCTAGCGCTTGGGTTTGAATCTGACTCAGGATATCAGGATAAAAACTTTTTTCTTTGTTGACTGTGAGTGTTCCGCATAAAAAAAGGTTTTGCCCCTCTTAACCAACTTCTAGGATAAATATGCATGGAATCAAAAATTATACATTTTGGTGCCTAAACTGAGTTTGTCAGTAGCTTTTATCTCCACTAAGTTCAATCTTTTCTAGGAATAATACAGGAGGTACTCTCTTGACATCCTCTTTCCTCAGTTGGTGAAGTGGAGTGGGCTCTATTGTTCAAATAAAATGGCTCTCTGCAATGTAAATTTTCCACAATGTGTATCTTAGTTTTCCGGTTCCAGTTTCCAAACCTCGGTGTCAACCGGTTTACAAATAAAGCTTTCACATAATAACCTTCAAAGCACAGTGGGGTAGAAATGTCACCTTGGTCTAGATTTTAGAGCATCCAGAATTGGCAAATTCTTAAATACTGCCTCAATTTTGAAGATTTTGAAGTTCTTCTTTTTAAGAACTACAAAATAAGGAACACCTTCGAAATTCTGACCGAAAGCTCTGAAATGCAATGAAAACAGAGCAAATCTATACCTCGGTGAAATTCCCCTTCGCCTCACCACCAAATCCCTAGTATTTTGAATTCACAATAATTAATTTGAGATGAACCACTTCCTCAGGCGAGAATCTCTGAACTGCACCTCGTTCGCATTCTTTGTTTTCCAAAACACAAGAAGTCGCCTGTCAACCCCAAAACCTGTGGGTTCAAAGCAAAAAAGCCAAGTGCTGGCACAATAAAAGGTGGGGTACCACCTTGAGCCCTGGGGCTGAATCACAGTCACTCACTCTGCACTGTGGAGTCCTGTAGCTCAGTGGTTAGAGCACTCGCTTTGCAAGTGAGAGACCTGAGTTCAATTCCAGGCAGAGGGCGAAACCTTGGGCAAGTTTCCTTACTCCACACAGAGCCTAATAATAATCCCTCCAAAACCAAAAACAATAATAAATTGGTCATTTTCAATCTACGACTGTTTGTGGGACATTGCTGAGCGCAATTGGATGCCGCGTTCGCCCACAAATATACAGTCAATTCACTTTACAGTGTGTTCTGTGAAGCGCTTTGGGACGTCCTCCCGACGTGAAAAGCGCTATATCAAATGCAAGGATTATTATTATTATTATTATTATATTACTGTCAGGTCCATAAACCTGGTTTGCTGCATTTTCCTATAGGATGAGTTACAAGTCAGAGCTTCACATGGTCTCACTGTGATGATCCTGACTCCTAACTCTTAAAGAGAGTTGCAGTAGTCCCTTTGCCAGGACTTCCCCACCCCAACACCTTGTTTGAGAGTCGCTTTAGATCTGAACTCGAGATGAAGCCCCTAAACCCCACGGCCGCTCCTCTCCACGACCACGTTTTGAAATCGTTTTCTCTTTTTTTTTAAAAAAAAGTTAAAAGTCAAAAGTTTGATCCGGAAAACACCCGAAACCCAACTGGATCCGAGTCCCAAGGAATCGCCCCCCACCCACACCCCCCACACCCCCTCCCCACAAACCCCACACCCCACACCCCCCACACCCCCCCCCCACCCACACCCCCCCCCCCACACCCCCCCACCCCCCCCACCCACACCCCCCCACCCCCTCCCCCACAACCCCACACCCCCCCACCCCCCCCCCCACACCCCCCCCCCCACCCCCACCCCACCCCGAGCCCAGGCTCTGCCGATTAGTTACTCACAGTCCTCGGGGAATTCTTCCAATTCCAAATGATCTTCGTCCGAATCCTCAGCGCTCATCTTGAAAAAGGATTCGATCTTTAATCCGTGGATATATATATATATATATATATATCTATGTGTTTGTGTGTGTGTTTGTGTGTGTGAGAAAGTGGCGATAAGATCCGAGAGAAGTGCTTCGACCTTCTGCGATCGACGAGTTCGCGTTGGAGGAACGCCTTAAAAACAATAGGATCGGAGGTGGAAATGATCCCCTAATAAGGAAGGAGGGCGGAGAGGGAGAGAGGGAGAGGGAGGGAGGGATGGGGGGGGGGGGGGGAGGTCGTGGGTTTTACTCGTAAGAGGCACAAACCCGGAAAAGTGGTCAGTGAGGAGTCACAGAGCAAAAATAAAAGAGAGACGCTGGTGATGTCCCCCCACTCTCTGCCCACAAGACCGGTCCCAACAGCAGTAGGTCTCGACTCGAGAGAAATCTTTGCCAAACCCTCGCAATGGTTTCCGCCCTCTAACTGCACAGTGGTTGGAGGAAAACTTGAAAAGCAACAAAGTCTGATGAGGATAACCTTTCCCAAGATCGGATCGTGTGCTCTTCTAAGGCTTTGGCTACGTGGTGTCTTTTCTTTTAATTGAATGGCACCCCTACCTCCTGTGTGTTGTTATAGGGTTAACCTCACTTAAGTCGTACGAGTTGAGACCCATACCTTAATAATAATAATAATAATAATCCTTGCATTTGATATAGCGCTTTTCACGTCAGGAGGACGTCCCAAAGCGCTTCACAGAACAGACTGTAAAGTGAATTGACTGTATATTTGTGGGCGAACGCGGCAGCCAATTGCGCACAGCAATGTCCCACAAACAGTCGTAGATTGAAAATGACCAATTTAATTATTGTTTTGGGTTTTTTTTGGAGGGATTATTATTAGGCTCTGTGTGGAGTAAGGAAACTTGCCCAAGGTTTCGCCCTCTGCCTGGAATTGAACTCAGGTCTCTCACTTGCAAAGCGAGTGCTCTAACCACTGAGCTACAGGACTCCAGGACTATTACCTTCAATATGACTTACGCAAAGTATGAGTTATGGCAAACTTGGATGGACTATAGACTCTTAGGCAGATGTACGTAGGACTGAAATGATTACATGATTTATACCCACTCGCCCCCCACCACTGGCGGGAGAGCCTTCAGCCACTCTACCCCAACCTCTGGGATTCCATCCCCCCCCAATCACTCCGCCTCGCCCCCGCCTCTTTCAAGTCCCGCCTCAAAACTCTCCTCTTCTACCGTGCCATCGGTCAACCCCCTTCCCCTCCCCTCCATTCTCCCTCCTGGATCCCAGTTCAGGTCTGAAATGCTGTACACTGTCCAGCGCCTTGGGATGTCCTCCCAACGTGAAAGGCACAATACAAATATAATCGTGTTGTTGTTGTTGCTATACAGATCAGACTTATGTGTGTTTTCCTGCATGTGTAGGTTTTCTAAGGTTTAGTTTTGTACAGTGAGAGCGATACATTGAACACATTGGACCACTCATTAATAATAATAATAATCCTTGCATTTGATATAGCGCTTTTCATGTCTTCTAGACGTCCCAAAGCACTTCACAGAATATACTGTAAAGTAAATTGACTGTATATTTGTGGGCGAAAGCAGCAGCCAACTGCGCACTGCAGTGTCCCACATACAGTCATGGATTGAAAATGACCAATTATTATTAGTGTTTTTTGTACCCAACTATTAGACAAAAATTGCAGTCGAGTCTTATTTTGAAACACAAAGGGTGTCCTGTAGCTCAGTGCTCAGTCCTCCTTTGGAGTCCTGTAGCTCAGTGGTTAGAGTACTCGCTTTGCAAGTGAGAGACCTGAGTTCAATTCCAGGCAGAGGGCGAAACCTTGGGCAAGTTTCCTTACTCCACACAGAGCCTAATAATAATCCCTCCAAAACCAAAACAAAACAATAATAAATTGGTCATTTTCAATCTACGACTGTTTGTGGGACATTGTTGTGCGCAATTGGCTGCCGCGTTCGCCCACAAATATACAATCAATTCACTTTACAGTGTGTTCTGTGAAGCGCTTTGGGACGTCCTCCCAATGTGAAAAGCGCTATGTCAAATGCAAGGATTATTATTGTAGAGTCCTGTAGCTCAGTGGTTAGAGCACTCGCTTTGCAAGCGAGAGACCCGAGTTCAATTCCAGGCAGGGCGAAACCTTGGGCAAGTTTCCTTACTCCACACAGAGCCTAATAACAATCCCTCCAAAACAAAACAATAATAAATTGGTCATTTTCAATCTACGACTGTTGTGGGACACTGCTGTGCGCAATTGGCTGCCGCGTTCGCCCACACATATACAGTCAATTCACTTTACAGTGTGTTCTGTGAAGCGCTTTGGGACATCCTCCCGACGTGAAAAGCGCTATATCAAATGCAAGGATTATTATTATTATTACGCATCTTCTGGTTGTGCCCTCTTTCCACTTTATGAGTCCAACAGCAAGAAACACCAGGAGCAAGCCTATTAAATTGAGTACATTATCCAAAAGATGATTTTTCAATGTAACCAATCTGGAGTTGGAGAAAAGTATTTGTTTAATTTAAATCTGGCCATAGTTCAGTGAAATTAATGAACTTATTTACAATGTAAATAGCTATAACTCTGTAATATAACAATAATAATCCTTGCATTTGATATAGCACTTTTCAAGTCGGCAGCCAATTGTGGCAGTCGGTTGTAAACAGTGGTATCTCACAAACAGTTGTGGATTGAGTGACCAAATTATTTTTTTGAGAGAGATTATTATCTGGCATGTGGAGAAAGGAAACTTGCCAAAGGTTTCACCCTGCTGGGAATTGAACCCAGGTCTCTCATTTGCAAGCCAAGTGCTCTGACCACTGAACTACAGGACTCCTATAATACACTATGAACTCTGATTCTTGATAGCTCCATATCATTGGGACATCCTTCCAACGTGAAAGGCGCTATACACATGTAATTTTATTGTTGTTGTTGTCCTTCAGGTGAAATTTCTGTTTCTTCACTTCACATGAAAGATCCCATAGTACTATTGGAAAAGAGAACTTTCTTCCAATACCCTGGCTAACAATTCCCCCAAATAAAATTGTTCACTTAATTTGTGACTGTTTGTGGGACATTGCTGTGTGCAAATTGATAGCTGCCACATTTGCCTGTAAAGGCTTTGAGACATCTTCCCAATGTGAAAAGTGCTATATCAAATAGAAGGATTATTATTGCTGAAGATCATATAGTCAGCTGACCAATCAAATAAATATTCATGGCTCTCAAATTATTAAAGATAATCTACCCTCACTAAGACTACAAGTGTTTTATTTAGTTCCTAAAGATAGTCTATACAGAGGTCTGTATTCTGTCAGTAAACAAACATAAAGCTTTACTTTATAACTTTTGTTTGGTCAGCCCCATATCTGACACGTACAAAAATCATTACCATACTTAAGAGCATGCAAACCAAACTGAGAGTTCCAAGTATGTTTGCCACCTACCCATAGAAATGTCCTTGTGTCTGGAATGGAATCCACACACTCCCTCCAAGGGTGCACCCTGTTTATAATAATAATCCTTGCATTTGATACCATGCCTTATTGCATCATTAAAGCACACATCAATGTGCCACAAAGAGCCATGAAGTGAATGGCCAATTTTATTTCCAGATTGATACAGCAGTATAATACTCCAGGCTGCTAAGTTCTGATCATGATTCATCACTGAAAGTAAATATTGGTGTTGTCCAGCTCAATCCCCACTGAGCAGGTAAAGAAAATATATTTTCTATGGACCCCTAGCACACATCTTGTAAGAAGTTCAGCACCTGCCAAAGTAAAATGCCTGCACTCAGTATGCAATTCATGTCTGGCAAGCTTGCATACACAAAGAATGGAATGAAAAACATCACCAGGAGAAGAGAAAATGGGAGGAGTAACAAGGGGAGGAGGGGTGGGGGGCAGTGAAACAGGTTCTTGTGTAAGAACCACATGATTCTTATACAAGGATTTGTATATTTTATCAGTCAAGAAGTGATACCTGGTCTACTTATTACGGGTGCTAGTCTTTAAGAAGTCTACAGATGCAGATCTCAGACTCTTGTAATCCAATCACACATGTGTGCTAACTCCAAATCACAAACTTCTTGCACACAAAAAGAGACCAAAGACTCCCTCTAGAGGTAAATTGTCATTATAGTGGTATGACATTGATATGAAAGTGAGGCTTGAGAGGTAAGAATTTAAAAGCAGATGTTTGGTAATTTTTAAAATGGGGAACTGAAGAAATGCTGACGATATACGATATATGAAAAATGCTAAAGAGAAAAAGCAAGATACATTTCCTTCTGCAGTTATTTAAAGGAGCCAGTTACTCATCATCAACAACAATTTACAATTATATATAGCATCTTTCACATTGCAAGGGCATCTCAAAACACTTCACACAATTGACTAGGAGCCCAAGCTGCAAGGGGGAGCTGAAGGCTGAGACGGAGGGGGAAATACTGTTTGTGTGACAGTTCTGTGCATAAATGGTTTGCCACGTTCCACAAATACAGTCACTGCAGTTTATAATGTATCATGTGAAGCACAGTGGATTTTTTATTCCACTGCACTACTTGGTTGGGGGAAAAAAAGGTAATTTCTCCTGGTGTACTGGCCAACAATCCTCCAGACACAATTATTCATTCAATTCATAACTGTTTGTGGAACATTGCTGTGTCTAAATTAGCTGCTGCATTTGCCTACAAAGTACACAGTCACAAAAACTGTACAGTAAACCATATGAAACACTTTGACACATCCATCCAATGTGAGAGGTGCCATAGCAAATGCAGATTATTATTTTCTTATTTTATTACTATCTTTCTATTCTTTCTAGTTGTCAATTTCCTGGCAGTGTTGACTTTATATCTTTAAATTTACAGTCTTGCTTCCATTTGCCATATTTTACTTTGTGAATATTGATAGCTTATGGTTCACAGAACAACAAGGAGTATGTCAACTGGGTTCAGTGGTAGCACTCTACCCTCTGAGTCAGAAGGTTGTGGGTTCAAGTCTCATAATAGGACTACACCATAGTGTAAGGTGACACTCCAATGCAGTGCTGGGGTGGGGGGTTGCATTATCAGAGATGCTATCTTTCAGGTGAGATGCTGAACCGAGATCCTATCTGCCTGTTCAGGTGGATGTTAAAGTTCCCATGGCATTAATCGAAAAGATAAGGGAGTTTCACCTGGTGCCCTGGCCCAACAATCCCCCAACAAAATTTGGGTGGATGATTGTCATTCTTTCAAGACTGTTTGTGGGACATTGTTGTGTGCAAAATTGGTTGCTATGTTTGCCAGCAAACACAGTCACTCCAATTCACAGTAAATACTGCGAAGTGCTTTGAGACATCCTTTCCAACATAAGTCAC